ACATGGGAGGCTTTGGAGCAGAAGAGGGTGTACCTGCTTGGGCAGCCCGTGCTGAGAGTGTCCCAGAGGCCCGAGGCAGACCAGCACCCTCCGGGAATGGTGGCAACCCTTGGGCAGAGGCCACTGGGTGGGCCAAGAGTCAGATCCCGAGGGTCCCAGAACCGGGCACAGGAGCCGGGACCCCGGGGGATGTGAGCAGGGCAGGGACACAGCGTGACCTCGGTATCTCAGGCTCCTCCTGGAGGCCAGTGAGGGGGACACTGGCAGGGCTGGGCCTGGCAGCCCGGGCACCTGCGGAGCGTGGACTGTGGGCTCGACTGAGAACCAGCCTCTGCCCTGGAAGCCCAGCCCAGCCCCCCTCTCCGTGCTGTGTGACCTTGGCAGACAGCAGCCCATCTCTGAGCTTCAGTTCCCTCATCTGTCAAACAGGAGGAAGTACGGCTCAGCACGTGGGGACCCCAGCCAGGGTTACTGATTCCTCCTCCTGGGCTGGGCCTGGCTCCCTGTCCGCCCTGCCCACCCACCCCTGGCCGCAGGGACCCTTGAGGACAGCACCTAATACAAATCGATAGTCAATTAAAGGCGGATCCCTCTTCCCAGCCCCAGCCTGTTCCGGGGTTGAGCTGAGCCTGCTTCCTGGCAGGCGGGACATTGAGGCCCCAAGAGGGACAGGGGCTTGGCCGGAGCCTTTTGAGCCCGCCAGTGACTGCAGCGCTAGAGCTTGGACCCTGCTAGACACCTTGGGGACACAGCGGTCCAAGGAGGCTACAAAGCCAGCCCCTGCCTTTGGGGGCCTCTGAGGCCCTGGGCACGGGGTTCGGAGCAGCAGGAAGATCTGCAGGCCCAGAGGATGTGAGGCTGAGCGGTGGCCCAGGGCTGGGCGTCTTCAAGTCCACTACCAGCATCGCTGGCCTCACCTCCCCCTGGCTTTGGGCCGTGAGAAGTCTGCCGAGGGTCAGGCTGCCCAGAAGAGCCCCTAGACGCCCCAGGACAGGATGGACCTGAGGTGGGGGCAGGGAGAGGCGAGGCCCAAAGACCCCGCCTCGTGCGGGTGACACAGAGCCTGTTTGCTGTGCAGTCCTGGCTTATAATCGCCCCTTTATGCTCCCTGCTCCGCGTGGGTCCCCGAGCTGGCTCCAGGATCGCGTGACCCACGCCTCTGCGCCTGGCTGGCATGGGTGCCCGCTTGTCCCCCGTTAGCACAGTTCGGAAGCCCCAGCAGGCTGTGCCAGGCCCAGGGAGGGCCCTCCACTCTCCTGAAAGGAGGGACACAGGCGATTAGGTGCGAGCTCCGGACCCAGGGTGCAGGGGCCCCGAGACCCAGCTGGGGGCCCTGGCAAGTGCCCAGGGGCCCCTCTGTGAGCCTCAGTGTCCTTATCTGACTGGTGCTGGGAGCAAAGATGGACAGCTCGGCACCTGGCATGGAGGAAACTTGGCTGACGGCCGGGCGAGCGGGCAAGGACTCTCCCCGGACCCGGGGTTCCAGTCCCGAGGCCGTTGCTTTCCACCCCCTCACCCCCCAGCCAGGCCCATCTGCTGTCCAGTTCTTCCTGCAACTCCCACGGGAGGCTTTTCTGCTTCTTGACAGCCACGCTGTCCACCAGGTACTCGGAGCCTGCCTCAGTTTCCCTTTCTCGACAGTGGCCCGGCTGCATTCCTCCAAAGGGCACAGGGAAGAGGCTTGGCTGGGCGCCCACCTGGCCGTGTCCATCCCCCCCCAGAGCTGCCTAGGGCGCCTCACTGTCCCCTGTCTCTCTGCCCTAATCTGTCCCCATCTCCCTCCTGGCACCCCTAGGTGCTGCTTTTGCCCTTCCTCATGCTGTTCCTTATGTGGGGACAGCCCCCCCATTCCCATTCACCCTTTAATCCCAGCTGGGTAATACTATTAACATTAAATCTAGAGGCAGAGCGTTCCAGGCAGAGGGATCAACCGGTGCAAAGGCCCTGGGGCAGCACTGAGCCCAGCGTGGGCAAAGGAGGGACTGCACCTGATCAGGTGCTCACAGGCGCCCCCTGGCTTCGGGGTGAGGACACGCAGTAGGGGTGAAGGTCAAGTGCATTGGTCCCAGTGGCCGCTGATGAGGCTGGACCGAGGAGAGGCAGAAGAGGGAGTAAGTAAGAAGTGGGTGGGTGTGGGGTAGGTTTTGAAGGTGGAGCTGACGGGCTGATTTACATTCTCCCCAGGCCCCGTTCGGAAGACCCCATACCCAGGGTCTTTAGGAAGCTGGAGCTGGTAGGAGGGTCGTAGGCTCTGCAGGTTCTATGCCTGTCATAGCAAGTTCCTCCAGACGCGTGGGGGCCCAAGAAACCCTGTCACTTTTTGTCTTTGGTGTGGTAGCTGACCCTCCCTACCCTGAGTTTGTCCCCAGCCTCCCAACCTCCCTGCCCCCGACTCCTGCTCCATCATCCAGGCCTTGAAATCCCCAATGGTATGTCCTGTGCCTTCTCCCTCCCACCCCCCACCCAGCTCCCGCAGGGGGAGTCAGGAGCTCACAGCCAGCCCCGCCTGCTCCTGGATCAGCCCCATCCTGCCTAGACCTCGAGAAGGCGTGGACCCAGTGAGGCCGGGACTGTGGGAGCCAGGGGGTAATTAGGGTCTGCCCTGTTTAGAAGGAGCCTCCGCTGGCCCCCGTGGGGCGTGGAGAGCCGGGGAGGCAGCTGTGGCGGGGCCCTCCCACATGCAGCCCTCATCCGGGCCTTTGGTGCAGGTGGCCCTGCCGATGCCAGCCCGCCTTCTAGGCGAGTCAGGCCAGAGCAGGAGGGGTGCCCCTGGGGTCCGTGGTAGGCTGGGCAGCCGGGGGGCTCACTAGGCTTCCTTGGTTTCCCCAGAGGCTCTCTGAGGCCCACCCAGTTGACCCAAGTGGTCTGGGACAGAACCCCCCTCCCCAGAAGTGGCCCCGCAGATGTTTGTCTGTGGGTGGGGCCTGCTGCTGTGGTCACCTTGGGGCCAGGTGGAGCCTCTACCTTCCTCGTTGGCCACTTTCACTCTTAAAGGGCCCACCGTAGGGGCACAGGGGAGGGCTGTGCTTCGGTCACCAGTGTCCCCACTGCCCAGTCCCCAGCTGGCTGTGCCTGGCGTGTGTCTGTAGTCTGCACACGCCTGTGTCTGCACGTATCTGTGGATGAGGGGATCTGGCTGGCTGGCTGCGTGGCCAGTTCGGCACGCACCACAGACCTCTGCCCTGACTCCACGTGCATGTCGCCTGCAGGCCAGCCGTGCACCCCCGCTGCCTGCTTGATCGTCACCCGTGTGGGCACCTTGTCTGGCTGTATTTCTCAGGTCCCTGATCTGACAGCTAATGGCCTGGCCGCGGAGGAACCATGTCCTCGTGCATGTGTTCTGTCTGACTCCGTGTGTCTGAGGTCTGATTTTGTGCTAGTCTGCATTTGTGATCTGACTATGTGCAAGTTTTATTCGTCTGATTTTGCATGCGGCCTCCCTTTGTTGCCTGACTGTGTGAATACACGTGCGACGGTTTCTGGGCTCGCTGTCTGTGGTCTGACTGTGTGTGTGTGTCTGTCTGTGGTTTGTTCCTGTGCATGTCTGCGGCCTGGCTGGGTACAGGAATCCTTCTCTGGGTCTAATCTGACTGCATGGCCCTTGCTGGTCTGATTGTGTGCAGGTAGAGCCTCCCCACCCCCACCCTGTTTCCCTCCCCTCCACCCTGGGCCGTCATCATGTGACTGCAGCCACTTTCCCTGGGGCCAAGCTCTAGGGCTGGGTGAGGTGACCACAGCTGGGTATTTTGGGAGCCAGATGACAGGGACTGCCCTGTCATTACATGTCACCCATCCCTGTGGCCATGGTTGGGCCCATCCGGGCCATGGCCTGGGGCGGGTGCAGGGCTGACCTTGCCTCATCCTGAGGCCTCTCCCCGCCCCTCCCTGGCCCTTGGCCCTGACACTGGCCACAGTGGAGACAGGGAGGGGCCAGCCCGGGGCTCCCCGTGCAGCGCAGTGAAGGGTCCTCCTGCCTTTAGAGGAGCTGAGATTCCTGTGGGAGGAACAGACGCCGAGTGATTAACTTTCACATTTAATTTGCAAATTGGGGTCTGAGCTGGAGGGTGAGCTTAGTCATTTCTGAGGCCGTGGGATGTGGAACGGAGGGGGCTGGCCTTCGAGGGGCAAGGAGGGCTCCAGAGGACGTGACAGCTGATCGGAGACCTATCCTGTGGTGGCGGGGGTGTGGGGCAGCATTCCTGGCAGAGGGCACAGCGGGGGCGAAGGCGCGCGTGAGGAACCGAGCTCAGGTCTGCGGCCGGCGGTGTGAGTGGCGCCCTCCGGGGGCAGTGTGAGTCACGGCAGGTGTTTCAGCAGGGTGGGGCCGACAGGTGTGCATTTGGAGGATCTGACTAGAAGCCCAGTGGGGCCGGGGTGTGGGGCCAGTTGGCAGTGTTAGCAAGAACCTCGTCCTTCCAGAGCCCCAGCCCGCGAAGGGGAGAAAGTGGGCATTCAGAGCAAATTCTAGAGCCGGCATTCAGCCCTGGTTTGGGGCTTGGCTGGAGGCGAGGGCTCCATCTGCGCTTGGGGGCTTCGTCCAGTTAGGGCTTCAGTCTGGGGTTGGGACTCAGTTCGGGCTGCAGTAACAGAACACGAGAAACCGGGGGCTTATAAACAACAGCATTTATTTGTCACGGTTCTGGGGGCTGGAAGTCCAAGACAGCGGATGTGGTGATGGCCCGCGCCGTGCTGCTTCTAGATGTTTCCTCGCTGTGTCCTGACGTGGCAGAAGGGGCGGGGAGCCCCCTGCGGCTCCTGTTACCAGGGCGCTCATCCCATCCACGGGGCTCGACCCTTGCGACCTAATCACCCCCAAAGGCCTCACCTCCAAATACTGTCGTTTCGGGGGTTAGAACATAACGTGAACTTGGGGGGGGGGACACTAATATTCAGTCTGCAGCAGGGTGTCGGCACCTCTCACCCCGTCCTCATCCCACGCCCCTCCCCCACCATTCTGTGACCCTGTGCCCCGCATCCGGTGTTCCTCTACCCCTCTGCGACCCTCCCACTGCCTCCCCCATGCAGGCCCCCTGGATTCCTCCACTCCCCTCTCACGGCCCCTCCGTTGTCTCCGCAGACGCTGCCCCGTCTGACGCTTGGCTTGAGGCCTTTCCGTGAGGGACGGGGGCGTCCCCGCTCCGGGGCGCAGGTCGGAGGTCGCAGGGCACCGTCAAGCATGGCGCCTGCCGGGGGCCTCGGCGTGGCGTCTGTGGTTGGTCCCGTGGGCCTCCTCGTGGTCCTGCTGGTCGGAGGCTGCGTGGCAGAAGGTAAGTGTGGGGCACGGGGGTGTCCAGGGGCGTTCACGTGCGTGTGTGAGCGACGTGTGTCCCCAGGGCTCCTGGTTCTGCCGCGGAGCCTGTGTGCTCCGTGAATATTACCGAGTAAAATGCCTACTGTGTGCTGGGTCCTGAGCGAGTCAGAGGTAAATGATGACTATGGTATCGAAGCAGTAACAGCAGCGACGATGACTGTGTCTGTGTCCCCAGCATTAACTCTGCATCAGGCCTGTGCTAAATGCAGACTTTACCTGCTTCCCCTCCCTCCAGCCTCTCAAAACCCAGCGTGCCTGTTCCGTTACCGGCCCCATTTTCCAGTGAGAAAAACACACTGACAAGGGCAGGGACTCAACTCGAAGTCTCCCGCTCCTGAGTGAGCCGTAGGCAGAAACGTTGGTGCCCAGGAGGCAGACACGCAGACAGCCAGACCTTCCCAGGGGGAGTCAGGGAGCTTCCTGGGGGAGAGGGCATCGGAGCTGGGGGCTTTGCGGGTGTGTAGGAGTTCGCTGATGGCCAGGGCGTTCCCGGTGAAGGTGTTAGCACGTGGAAAGGCCTTGGAGGCGGGGAAAGAGGTCGGTGCCGTTTGGGGGTGGGCAAGGCTGTGTTTCTGGCAGTAACGTGCAGAGGTTGAGTCGGCTGTGGGCCCAGTGCCCAGATCCCGCCCACACCCCGTGAGAGACCCGGAGGAGGTGTCACTCAGGCCCGTGGGGACCCAGGCTCAAGCCAGGAGGGTAAGAGACGGGCATCTTGGATCGGGCTGGGTTTGCTGAAGACCTGCCGCGGGTCCTCGGGCAGGTGTCTCAGCCTCCCAGCTGCCATCTTTGTCTTAACTGAACGAGACTCAAAACATTATCCCCATCTCAGCATTCTGTGACCGGGACCTGTGATGAGCCCCCGCGTGCCACTCGACACATAGTAGGCCCACAGTTCCCTGTTACCACGAGCGTAGTCGTTATTGCCACTGGGCGAGACACGCACACCTGCCTCGTCTGCTCGTGCCTTCTCTCTTTTTCATGTTTCTTTGGTAAATGCCTAACACGTTCAGATCAGCCACCACAGCCTGATGAGATGAACACTTACCGTCATCCCCACTGGACAGGTGGGGAAACTGAGGCACGGCCAGGTTACCGTACAGCCAGGAAGTGGCCATGCTGAGGTCTGAACTGGGCTGCCATGACACGACACTGCCTCCAGGCCAGTGGCCAGGTGTGGCTGGGCCGCGATTGTCCATTCACCTCCAGGGCATGTGTCTTCCCAGGCTTTGTTCCCTGCAGTAAGAATGCAGACTAAAGGTATAAGGAATTGTAGTTTTTCAAACATTCGTTCGATACGGGGTTCCTCCCCCCAGCACTGCTGACTTGGGGCCGGGTCACTCACGCTCTGTGGGGCATCCTCAGCAATGTCCAGTGTGGAGCAGCGTCCCCGGCCCCCACCCACTCAATGCCAAGACCGCCCCCTGACTTAACTTATATGGGTTGAAAAAACTAATATATTTACTGCTTGACACCTTGCTCCATTGATAATTACCAACCATGGCCATGATGGAGCTGGGATCTTCTCTGTTTACAGGCAGAGAAACTGAGGCTGCAGAATGGCCATCGTGATGAGCAATGGCCATCACAGAGTTCAGATCCCGGCTTCAGATCCTGGCTCTGTCACGTGACCACAAGAGGGTCTGTGTTCTCTCTGACTCAGCAGGTTTTTGATAAGCACCTGCGGTGTGCCAGGCACTGGCTTAGACACGGGGACAAAACACCCCGCCCCCTCGCAGAGCCGATAACCTAGTGAGGTGGAGCCACTCAGTGTGTTGGGCAGTGGACGTGCCTGAGCAAGATGAGCGGAGAGGTTGCCCAGGGCGTGAGGGCGGGAGGCAGCTGCACTTCAGTCTGGTAGGAGGTGTCAGGAAAGGTCGCAGCGAGGAGGTGGCATCTGGGCAGAGACTTAAAGGTGCTCAGGAGTGCCCCCAAGTGGTGTCTGGGGGAAAAGTGTCCCAGGCGGGGGCGGGGTGGGGGCAGCCTGTGCAAAGGCCCTGGGGTGGGGCAGGGCCCCGCCTGGCTTGCTGGAGGAACAGCCAGGAGACCCAGGAGACCCATGTGGCTGGAGCAGAGTGGGCTAGGGGGAGAGGGAGGAGGGCAGGGAGGGGGCGGGGCAGGTCGCACAGGGCCGTGTGGGTCAGGGGAGGACTTGGGCTTCTATCCCAGGGAGGTGGGGGCCTGGAGGGCTGTGGGCAGAGGAGGGAGGGAGCCTGACTCAGGGGGTGCATGGGCGCCCTCTGGTGGCTGCTGTGGGGAGGGCAGATCAGGGGCAAGGATCGGAGCTGAGGGGCCGGGATGGAGGTGCCTGGGCTGGTCCAGGTGGGCGTTGATGGGGTGAGACCCAGGATTTCAGCACTGGTATGTAGCGAGAGCTGGTTCAGTGGGTGTTCCCCCCGAGAGCCTTTCATTATGATGACTGTGTTACTTTAGGTGTTGGTAGTGCTCTGGACTTGAACCCATGTCGCCATCTCCGAGGCCGGGGCATCTCGATCCCAGTAGGCGGGTCTGTTTAGCAGGAGCCCTGTCATCTGGGGCTCTGCAGGGGGCGCTGTGGGCGCCGTGGTGGGCACTGCCAGCATCAGGGAGCAGCCCGGGTCCTCGGGGAGCCAGTCAGGGTGGGCGCTGTCTGGCTGCGGGGAGCCTGGGCCAGCGGCTGACGTGTTCGCCAGCCAGTACCGAGAGGAGCGATTTCTGCCATGGAAATGGCTCCCGGTCCTGCGGGGCCCTCTCAGGATGCCGCGGAGCTGGCCCAGGCAGAGCCGGAGGCGACACGTGGGTGGGTCTCCGGATCTGGCACCAGATTCCTCCCTGTGGAATCTGAAAGGGAAAATCAGAAACCAGGCCAGGCCTTTCCTGGGCTCAGCGCTGTTGGCCTCACCACTCTGACCCTCAGTCTCTTCTAAGACACCGGGATCCCTGAGTTGCTCTCAGTCATAAGGACTCACAGCCCCGTTTACCCCGTGTGCTGTTTGCGGGGCTTGGCAGCCGGACGGGACCAGGTCGGAATCCCAGCTCTTTGCCCCTCACAAGCCGGGTGGCCCTGGCAGGTCACCCACCCTTTCTGAGTCTCAGTTTTGCCTCCCTGTGGCACATGCGTAAGGAGAATGCTGAGCCCCGCCGGGCCCAGGGCGAGATGAGCTCCCGCTCGCCACAGGCTGCGGCCGTCACCCGGTGTGTCTTTCTCGTGTCCAGGGCCTCTTTGCCAAGGAGGGGAGGGGAGGGTTTGTCCAAACGACAGAATCCAAGCTTCCGCAAGGAACGTGCTGGGGGGATGCAGCAGGCGGAGAAAGCTCTGCGGAGCTGGCCGGGATCCCGGAGCTGCCTGGAGAGGGGCCGAGAAGGTGTCTGCCCCGCAGGAGGGGCGGCTCCACGGCACGCGGGCCGCTTGGCGGGGCCTGGCGTTGAGTGGGCATCAAGGGCAAGAGCCCCACTTTCTCAAGGTCACGGGTCACAGAGAGGAGGTATGATGGGGGCCTGGGGAGTGCGGCTGCCCCGGGCCCAGTCTGCCATGTGGCAGTGGGACCAGGGCCGCACCGGGGCACGTCCAGGCGGCGGCGGGGACAGACGGGCTCTGGACCCGGCCTGCAGGAATCCTAGAGGGCTCCCTAGGGGAGTTGCCAGCCCAGCTGAGGTTGGAGCTGCCCGATGAAGAGAAGAACAGCGTGCACTCGTCCCTGGGTTGGAGGGGGCCAGGGGTGTCTCCCCAGCTCCAAGCCGTAAACAGATAGCTGGATGCCTCCACAGCCACCTCTGCCCCTTCTTCCAGCCACTCCCAAGGGAGGATTTTCCCAGAAGTAAGATTCCTGACCTGGTCACAGTGACTTTTCCCCGTGCCCTTGGCTGGGGACACCGGGCCCAAGTCACCATTCCCCAGGCTCGGGGGAGGGGCGGCCCAGGCAGCGGGAGCTGGGGAGAAGGCCCCGCCCTGGGCTCAGTGTGGAGCAGAACCCTAAGTCAGGCTGAAGGCCTGAAGGCCTGGAGGTGACGGGGCGTGAGATGTGGGCCTAGGGCACAGGGAGGCCCAGACTCAACCCTGGTGCTGGGCCCTCATGCAAGCTGGTCAGCCTTCCTGAGTCAGTATAGTCTGCATAACAAGGTTAGCAGTCACTGCCTCGGGGAGACACAGGAGCTGACTGAGGCCACACTTGCTGGCTGGCAGTGGGTCTGCCGACTTTTAAGAGAGATGGCCAGTGTGGACGCTTATGATCGCGCCCACAGGAGCGGAGCCTGGGGTGGGTGGGGGGCGAGGCTGGCCAGCCAGGCCCCCGGGACGGGCACTGTGTTGTGTTTAAAGCCCAGCCTGAGCCATGGGTGGGAGAGACTGGGGCCCACAGGCACCCGGACTGGGAGCCCGAGGCTTCCCTAAGCCTCTCGGTGCTTCTGAGCAGCCAGAAGCTTCCAGCTGAACCCTCGTGGCCCTCTGCGCCCTCCGCCGATTTGGGGGCTCGGAGACCCGGTATTGCTATGGCGTGAGGTGGTCAGCCCCTCTCTGCCTCTCCTCGGACCCCGAACTTTTACTCACTTAATGTTTTCCTTTAGTCAGCTCACCTTGTTATTCAGTCCCTTTAAAAAATAATTTGAACTTATTTTTAAATAGCTCTGAGTCTAAGAAAGTGACCAAGGTGTGAAGCCTCCTTCCGCCCATGTCCAGCCAGCCGGTCTCTCTTCCCGGCGGCAGCCACTGTTTATGAACACACTTTCTCCCC